GGGGGCGCGGGGGGGGGGTGGGTGTCAGGCTCCAAGATTGCATGGGAAAGGATGCCTGTGTCCTGAACACTTCCTGAATGCTGGGCCCTGTGCCAGTAGCTTGGCCACCCAGGGCCCTCTTCCTTACAGCCACCCTAAAGCAGAGGTCAGGGTCCCGGATGTAACCTAGTCCAGATCGAAGGAGGGGCTGTGACTTGCTGGGTTTGACTGACTTGGGCCTCCTGTCACATTTCTCCCCTGGCAGCCACTCTCTCCTCACAATGTCTGAGCTCTAGGGAGATAAGAAATTAATATTGTCACAAACTAGGTGTCAGAGAGCCTATGGTTCAAATTCTGCGTCTGCCTCAATTGTATGACCCCAGATAAGCCCCTTGACCTCTGTAGGCATGTTTCCTTACCTCCAGTAGAAGCATAGAGTTATCTCTGGCCTCAAGAGTGGTTTAGGATCAGAAGAGACAGTGGATGAGGAAGAGCTAGCAGGAAGGAACCCACTCCCTAGGGTGGTCCAGTCAAAATTAGAAGCAGACGACGGCCCAAACAGCTGCCCCAAGCCACCACTTCCTTTTCCCAGACAGACTAGTGGCTGTAGCCTGGGAGGCACTTGGCATCCTTAGCTAACAGGCATTGCTTTGAGCAGGCTGCCCTGAGCCATGGAGCCAAGTGTCCCTGTGGGGACCAGTGGCTGAGCCAGCCTTGGCTGCCTTGCCTCCTCAGTTCCCCCAATGACTCCAAGCTTAATAAGCCTTGTGGGCTGCTGTCAAGCCTAATTAGGCTGTCCTTGGTCATCGTGTCTCCAGGGTCCTGTTGTGGCCATCTGAGATCCTGGACATGACCGTGGCTGGTGCCCTTGGCAGCCATTGGGTGTCTTGAGTGGAAGTAGCTGCCTGCTGTCTCTCACCCATGGCTTAGAAGATCCGCGTCCCTGGCTTAGCTCCTGGACCCTAAGGTATGGCTGTCCCTCCTCCAACACCCTGCTCTGGCCCCAAAACCTAGTACTATAGCAAATGGGGAAGAAAAGAGAATAAGACAGTAGAATGATAGAGAGAGTGGGTGAGAGGTGGAGAAGGCTGATAGGGACTGAGCACTCCAGGAAGCTTCGACCACTGAGAGCCTTCAGTGGCTGTGTGGTCAGCAGAACAATCCAAGGAGAGGACATAGCTGGGAGTCCAATGGAGGGTTTAGTGCGGAGCTGGGCTCGTGGTGGAGTGCTGTCCAAGCCAAGGATAAAGCCTGGGGCCTTGACCGCATTCCCAGCAGCACAGACCAGCAGAAGGAAGGTGGGAGGGAGGGAAGAAGATGAGAGACACAGGTATTCTGTGTGGAACTCTCTCGAGCCCAAACTTGGCCTGCTCTTAGGTGCATCAATCATAATCAGTTCATTGTCTTTGCATTTCACTGTGTCATTCGCATGACCCCACAACCCCAGTGCAAGGGCAGCTGACGTCATGGCTCTTCCCACTGAGTAGCTCTCCCCCACTGTTCCCACCCCTCACTCGTCCTTCTGGCGGACAGTCTGACTCCACCATGACCAGGCTTCCCTCCAGCCTCCTTGGGATGTACACTAGGCTTTGGGCGGAGGGAATTCTGTGTTCGTAAACACTGCCAAATTACCCCACGAGGTAATTACGCCACTTTGCACTCCTGTGAGTGATATATCCGAGTTCCCACATCCTCAGCTCCTCGCCATCAGTTGATTTAACACTCCTTAATTTTGCCAATCTGTTGGGAGAAAAATATCTCCTTTTCATTAGCATCGCCAACTATTAGAGAAGTGGAACTCCCCCTTAGGTGTTGAGTGGTCATCAGACTGCTGCAAATGCCTGCTCAGACACTTTGCCTGTCTGCTTTTGGGGTTGTTTTGGTGTTTTTGTTTTTAATGGCTTGCTTCTCTTTTTCCTATTAACTTGGGAAAGAAGTTCGAATGAACGGATGGGACTCTTAGCATTTGTCATGGGCATTCCCGCTCCCCATCCCCACATGTCTCTTGTCATTGAACTTTGTGCTGTCCTCATTCAGAAGTGTGACATCCTGGTGCTGTGACATGGAGACTGTCCCTTTTGTTGACTTCTCTGCATCTTGTCCAAGAGGGCTTTCCTACCCAAGGTCACTTTGTGTCCCTTGAGGCTTCTGTTTCCTGTTTATCTTACTAGCTTTGTCCTTGGGATCTGCATTGTTCTGTTGTCTGTTTTATTTTAGTGTTGAGAGAGAGAATCGTGTAGCCCAGGCTGGCCTCAACTCCTTATGCAGCTGAGGATGACTTTGGACTCCTCGCCCTCCTGCTTGTAATCCTGCATGCTAGGATTACAAGCATGCACCACCACGCCCAGTTTAGTCCGTGCTGGAGGCAGCTATGTCGCTGTCTTATTTAGATCTGTCTTATGTCACTGCGTGTGGTGTGACGTGGGATTTGGCTTCATTTCCTTGGGCTGGCCTGTGGTCCCAGCAGTGTTTATCAAATACTCCGTCCCTCGTGTTCACGTGGTGCAGTGCCTCTGTTATACACTCAAGTGACACATGTTTACGGATGGATTGAAGGCAATGCTGCTGTCCATCGAGCTCTTCATCCAATCCAGTCCAGTGTGTAATTGCTAAATCTCACAGTTTCTTCAACTGGGACACCCTGGCATTTGGGGCAGAGTAGTCGTACCTGCTTATTCCACGTTCCTGACCCTTCCTGAAGTCGTCCCATGTGTTCCATGTTAGTAGCAGCCCTCACAGCGTTGAGGACCACAGTGCTGCCCACTGTAGTTTGGTGTCCTCCAGGCTGACCTCCCTTTCCTGCCTGGTCCTTCTATCTCATCTTCTGCCCGTTTGCCCGAAGCAGGGTTGGAGTCTTCAGCATGGCACTGTTGAGCACCTCTGATGCAGACAGCCCACCCCACTGGGAGGAAGTGTTGGTATATTCTGAATGGAGGTCATCTTGCTGTGACCCTCTTTCTCCTGAATCCGGAAGCCCACAGAATGCCAGTCCTTCCTCCTTGATTTGCCCTTCGTTGCTGTCAGGAGCAGACACGTTCCTCACATCTTCCCTTTTCCTCTCTAGACTTTCAAACTCAATAACCCCAACTCCCTCTGACGTCCATCAAAACCTTGGCTGCAGTGGCAGGGAGCATGGCATGTTTGAGCTTGAGTTGAACACACTGGCTTCAAATTCTTGTTCTACTTATTGGCCATGTGACTCTGGAGAAGTTGACTAACTTCTCTGTGCTCCTTGGTTCAGTTGGTAAGCTAAGGAGCAATGATGCCAAGTCATGAGCTGAGCACATTACATATTAAGTTCTCTCTATAACTTTAGCAGTTATCATTTTAGCTATGAGTGATTGGTCCCATTTCTTCTCCTTTTAAAGGCTCCCTCATTTAAATTAGAAAAACAAATAATCAAGAGATCAGGAAAAGAATAAATTATGGCAGAAGTTTGAGAACACAAGGTTATACTTTGCTAAAGGTAAACTGCGAATTTGACTCCGGACTTCCTAGTAGACAAAGAAAAGGGGGAACACAGATGATATAGCATAATACTCGGTGCCCTTAGGAGGAAAACAAGGCAACTAATTGTTTAGGTTGTGCAGATTGGCTGTGTCCTTGGAGCCATCATATAGTGACTGCAGTTACAATGGGACCGCTACAAGCCTGGTCCCCAAAGGGTCTGAGGTTCAGAGGAGTTATGACTCTGGAGCCCCGCAGGCAGTGAGTGATGGAGCCTGAGCATTTGGTCTCCCAGTGCGATGGGAGAGACAGTTGGGTTCACGTGTGTGGCAAAGTGGGCTCCAGGGTGAACTGCAGCCAGGGAAAGGGCTCAGGGGAGGATTCTTATCCTCGGCTTTAGGAGTCAGGAGAGGCTTTCACCCCTGAAGATGGCAGGTCAGGTTGTGAGCTCTCCATCTGGCCCAGCCTGGGGAAGCAGCGTCAGTCAGTCCACGGCCTGGAGCAGATGAAGGGAGCTTAGAGATCCCCACCCAGTGGTGCATGCTGAGATGAGACAATTGAAGTCTAGTGAAGACTGAGATGAGCCCGAAGTCACAGAGGGACAGGAGCTACAGGATCAGGGCCAAGCCTCCTGTCTCCTTGCATCTTGTCATCCCTCCCCCTGCCATACTCCTGCTCTGGGCTCTGACTTGCTTCCTGCAGGGTCATTAACCACCTACGGCCTGCCACGTGGTGTCCCCCTATATTTAACTCCCACGCCGTGACTTACTGAGGCCTAGAATAGCAGCCCTGGGTGGGGGCACTCTCTCTGCTCTCCCCTCTAGTCTCCCTAAAGTCAAGCTCCCAGCTCCCACCCAACCCCAGGGAGAACAGGCCTGGATCCCAAGGAGTACTGGCTCACCCCTAATGAAGACCGGTACAACAAGAAGAGAAGCCACCCGAGAGTCTTCAACATGCCATGCCTCAAGTGGCCCGAACCAAACCCTGGCTTGGCCCAGACTCAGCCTTAGTCCCTTTTCTAGTTGAGCCCTGACTTTGGTTCCAGGCTGAGCCTTGTTCTCCTCTCTCGGTTGCACCTTGATCCTGGCTCTAGCCTGAGCCCTGATCCTTTTTCTTTCTTTTTCATTTTTATTGTTTTAGTTTATTTATTTATTTTATCTGTAAAATTTGTATGTGCATGTTTTACCTATATGTACGCATGTGCACCACTAACATGCCCAGTGTCCACTGAGCTCAGAAGAGGGCATCAGATCCTTTGGAGCTGGAGTTGTAGATGGTCATGAGCCACCATGAGGACCTTAGGACCTGAACCTGGGCCCTCTGCAAGAGCAACAAGTGCTCTTAACCAATGAGCCATCTCTTCAGCATCCCCACTCCACCCCGATCCTTTTTTTCTAGATTGACCCCTAATCACTGGTTTCTGCTTTCAGTTGTGCCGGAAGGTTTTCTTACCAAATATTTGCCCTCATATCCTAGCTTTGGCCTCAGTGGTCTGGGCCAGCAGTGACGATGGATGAGAAACAAAGCCATCAGCCCACCTGCCCTGACCGTGAACTCCTCTGCATCCCCCACGGGATGCCAGCATAGCCATGCCTGCTTCTCCTAATTGGCCTCCTATCTAATTCCCTGAGCCATGTGAGCCAGGGAGGCTGTGATATTTATAAAATCTGTGTCCTTCCTGATAAAGCCAGCCACGGGGACCAGGTTCAGAGCCACTGTTTTCATCCTCTGAACCCAAGCACTTCAAACCACATCTGCCACCGAGGGCCCTCATCACAGTACACCTGTTACCATTGAAGTCACAGCTCCTACATATGGGCACCGCCCCCTCTCTGATGTCTTCTCAAACTCAGAAAGCTGTTTCAGGCAGCCAGAACCCCGCCTGAGTGGCAGGGCCAGTCTGGGAGCTTGAGGGTGACTCACTGTGGTCTCTGAGCACTGACTGCTTTGTCCTGTATGGGGAGCAGAGCCCTCCCCCGAAATCTGCAGCTCTGGGGGTGGGAAGCAGTGGGCGGGAAGGAGGACTACTCTGGTGGCACATGCACCAAGCACAACCAGTGTCATTTGGGGAAGAGCCCTGAACCACTGGTCCAAGTGCTTAGCCTGTACTGTTTGAATTATCTAGAATTCTCAGTTAAAAACAGGCCTCCCTCCCCCAGGGCAGGGCCCTTCCTCCCATTCTGTGGGCACCCCCTTCCTCGCCTCTACTTATGTTTGTGTTTCCCCTGTCATGAGCAGCTCCTTGTCTTTTGGGCTTGTTCTTTGATCATGCCAACATCTTTCTCCCTGTATTTTCTGCGCTGCCACCAAAATGCTTCACTTTGTTTGGAATGTTTGCTGCTGAGCCCTGTGCACCAGGCTCTGCTGATGAGGAGGGAAAGCCCAACAGTCCCTGCCGTCACAGTACTTTGGTCCATAACTTTAGAGTAGAGTAGCTCTGGCTTGCCTGGAACTATGTAGACCAGGCTGGCTTCCAACTCAGAGATCCACCTGCTTCTTACTCTGCCTCCCAAATGTTGG